TATTTCACTATATGGATGATGTATTATTAGCACACAAAGATAAAAACACATTGCTAGAATGTTATGCCACACTTACAAACTTATTAAAAAATTATAATCTAGAGATAGCAATAGATAAAGTACAATTAAATTTTCCAATTAATTATTTAGGAGTTCTATTATCCTCAACCATGGTCCGTCCACCAAAAATTCAAATACGAGTAGATCAACTCAAATCACTTAATGACTTTCAAAAGTTATTAGGAGACATAAATTGGATAAGGCCTTATTTAGGTATACCAACAGGAGAGTTGGGACCTTTATTTGATATCCTAAAAGGTCCATCAGATCCAAATTCACCCCGAATGTTAACAAGAAAGGCATTAAAAATCATTGAAACATATATGGAAAATATGCATTTGGATAGAATTGATATAAGTTTGCCTTTATTATTTATTGTACTACCAACAAAAAATATTCCTACAGGAGTATTTTGGCAAGAAGGTCCATTATTATGGATACATTTATCTTATTCTCCTAACACTATTCTTACTAGGTATCCTGAGGCTGTAGGACAATTAATACTCAAAGGAATAAAAGCAGCAAAGGGAGTGTTTGGAATTTCTCCCAATAAAATTATTACTCCATATACTATGAATCAAATTGATGAGTTAGCTAATGAGTTAAATACTTGGGCAATAATCATGTGCAAATCTAATGTTTCATTTGATAACCACTTACCATCTAATCCTTTATTGTCTTTTTGGTCATTGTATCCTGTAATTTTTCCAAAAATGACAAGAAAAACACCTATCATGAATGCTCCAAATATATTCACTGATGGGTCAAATAATGGTACAGCAGCAGTAGTTACCCCTGATCAAACTTTTACATTTTTAGTACCCAAACAATCAGCTCAAAAGGTAGAGCTTAATGCAGTTTTACAAGCTTTTGTGATGTTTAAAGACTCTGTATTTAATTTATTTTCTGATAGTCAGTATGTAGTTAATGCTATAGTATCTCTTGAAGATGCTGGTAGGATTTCCCCTTCTTCTACTGTTTTCTCTTTGCTTTCCACTATACAAAGTCTAATCTGGGACAGAAAAGATCCATTCTTTATAGGACATATCAGGGCACATACAGGATTGTCTGGAGCCCTTAGTTTGGGCAATGATTTAGCAGATAAAACTACACATGACATACATATTTTCTCTACACTAGAAGAAGCTATAAATTTTCATAAAAAGTTCCATGTCAATGCTAATACTTTACAAAAGCGTTTTAAAATAACTAAGGAACAAGCTAGACAAATAATAAAACAATGTCAAAATTGTGTGACCTTTTTACCACAAGTTAATCTTGGAGTCAATCCTAGAGGATTGATACCTAACCATATTTGGCAGATGGATGTCACACACTTGCCAGAATTTGGAAAATTAAAATATTTGCATGTTACAGTTGATACTTCTTCTGGATTTTTGATGGGCTCCCTTCATGCCGGAGAAAAAACTAAAGATGTTATAGCTCATTGCTTACAAAATTTTGCCACTGTGGGTGTTCCAAAACAGTTAAAAACAGATAATGCCCCTGGTTATACTTCTACCTCTTTTAAACAATTTTGCTCAACATTTGGCATTACTCATATAACAGGAATCCCATACAATCCACAGGGACAAGGCATAGTTGAAAGAGCTCATCAAACTATTAAAATGTACTTATTAAAGCAAAAAGAAGGAATTTGGGAAGGGGTATATATTCCCCAAAGATAAACTTAAAATAACCCTTTTTACTCTAAACTTTTTAAATTTGGATTCATCAGGACTTAGTGCTGAGGAAAGGCATATGTGTCCAAAAAATGTACATAAGCCCAAGGTACTTTGGAAGGATATTCTAACAGGACAATGGAAAGGTCCTGACCCAGTAATTGTCTGGAGTCGGGGGTCTGTTTGTGTGTTTCCACAGGGAGAACAGCAGCCGATTTGGATTCCAGAGAGATTAACCAAGGTCCTGACCCAGTGATTGTCTGGAGTCGGGGGTCTGTTTATGTGTTTCCACAGGGAGAACAGCAGCCGATTTGGATTCCAGAAAGATTAACTAAAGCGATTTCTACAGACCAAAAAGAAGATGATTTGGCTCAAATCCATAACAACTGATATCCAAAACTCCAGTTTGGCTATTCTTACATCTGCAACAGAACCAGGATGCTTTTTTCAATATCTATTTTATTATTGCCCTTTGCCATATCATGAAGTTCTATTTTGTTTTTTGAGCTCATACAGACCTAGGTTAATGTTTTGCTGATCAGTTCTATTTTTTGACTATAGAGTTTTTAAACATTGCAATGGAGATTTCACCTGTAAAAAGTTATAAGGCCTTTACTATAATGTTATGTGTTGCATGTATTATATTATGTGTGCACACTTGTGTTTTGTTTTATGTTTGAATGTACGTATGTCCATATATCATATAAGATGAGCGCTCATGATAAAATGGATCCAAATATTTTTTTTTCACGTGATTTATATGGTTTAATTTAAATTGGGTAAACAACTGTTGAGGATTGTTTTAATATGTAAACAAAAAAGAAGGTTAACAGATCTGTTTGTTTACTTTCACCTTTCCTTTTCATTATATTTAATAATTCTCTTAAAGATAATGTAAATTGTTAAGAAAATTGTTTTCTTTTAGTGCCTTCTGTAATGTTACATAATTTTTTCTTTAGCCATTATTGCCAGAATTCCTATCTTCATCCCAGTGCCGGTGAAGACAATGTAAATTGTTAAGAAAATTGTTTTCTTTTAGTGTCTTCTGTAATGTTACATAATGTTTTTCTTTAGCCATTATTGCCAGAATTCCTATCTTCATCCCAGTGCTGGTGAAGTCAAAGATAAAACCAATCTACAGCTTCTACAATAGCCATCACTGAACTGCTTGCAGAACTTGCCTGGACACATTGTGAGCTCACCTGTATGCATTGTGAACTATCTGTTGGTACAGCGAATTGTGGTAGTGCTGGAGTATTTTTGCTGATGGTGTCACCGGTGGTACAATTTTTCAAAGGAGCCCTCAATTGGCTTAATGTCATGGCATTTTGCATCCTCCTCTACTAGTGATGGTCTAAAATTTGGGGGCCAACAGAGGTGAGGCAAAGAACCTCACCCCCCCACAGGTGCAAAGGCCTATCCACAAGTATGGCTGTATGCTGGACCGGTAGTCAGTGACGGGTATGATCCAATTGCAGTGGTACCAACCTAAGACAGGAGGCTGACGCCTAGAGGTCAGTTCATCCGATGACGGGTAAGGACCATATGTTGAATTGGACTGCCTAACAGGCACAGTCCCTAAGCCACATGCTTGTTGTTTAAACAGAGAGGGGGAGATGTTGAGAGCCACAGCCAAAGGGGCCCCAGCAAACTTCCAGCTGCCAGCAAACTTCCAGCTGCTGGCTGATGATTGGCTCACAGCGGCCCCAGCAACATCTAGCTGATTGGCTCCTCGGCCCCAGCAACATCTAGCTGATTGGCTCCTCTGCGGTGATGCTCATTGGACTGTTTCCCTGCCCTTTCAGACCACGGAGCTGCTCATTGGGGGACTTTTTTGGCTCTGCCCACGTGACCCAGCCAATCGGCCTCAAGAGCAGGAGGATTGTGGGAGGTGGAGAGAAGCTTGTGTGGGAGAGAGAGGCTTGGGAAAAGCCGGTGGTGGCAGTTGAGGCTCTGAGGGTTTTTCCTGAGAGGCTATTTTGTTTGTCGTGTGTGGTTCTAAAAATAAAGTTAGTTTCTTTTGACAAGTGGCTCCTGATTGTGCCCAGCCAGACTGCGGCAGACTAAATTTGATTTTTTTTCTTATAGTGGTCACACCAAATTCTTGGTCAAGGACAGCACTTAAAAATTCTTTTTAAGAAGTCTTTTGTCATGATTTCATTTCTGAAACTGGAATTTCCTCTTGTAAACTATTTGTTTTACTGATTCAATAATCTGGGCATTTGTGCCATTACTAACATTTCACATCATATTTTAAACTGAGTCTCCTTTTTTGAGATAGAATGTATCTGTTTGGGGAAAGCTGACATTTTTTTTTCTCCTTGTGATTTTATTACTTCATTGGAATATTGAGAGTAGACATTTTAATAAAGCTCAAAATATTACCAAAATCAACACCCCACCAAAAACTTGTGTTGATTACCCCATTAAAGTATCTTTTTAAAAAATAAAAACAGATTAAAAAATAATCTTTGATTTTGAAGAAGAAACTACTGTTCTAGAAATATTCTAGGATTTTATCTATTCCACCCCATTTCTATGACACTTGATGCAGGATTTCCAAAGGTATCTTTTTCCTGATAATTTAAAGAAAGGCTTTATTAAACACTCTGAGAGCAATGCCAAGTTATCTGAACTGGAAAAAGATGCTGCTGATCTAAATATTAACCAGAAGCCTTTGTTTCAGATCAAGAGTCTCCAGCCTTTGTTTCAGATCAAGAACCTCAGGTGCCATCACAGGCCATCTCTGGGCCTAGTCTAGCAAACATCAAGCTCGAAGTCCACACTAAGGCTGCATTTGTATATGTTCCAGTAAAGTTTCAACCTCTGATTTGAATGAGGAAAATAAAAAATAATTTGGCTCACCAATCCAACCTTTTAGTAATGTGAAGAACTGAAGCCAGAGTTTTTTGAAAAACTGATTTTTCAAAAATCAGACTAATTTAAACAAACATGAATTTTAGAAATTCATAAGATGAATATAGCACAATTATCTGAAATGTATACAAGTGTGACTTTGTATTTATGACTCCTGACATCAGAAAATCTCCATACCTTTCATAGGAAAGCCTGAGAAAAAGCTTATAAGACAGACTTAAGAGGCAGAAGTCTCCATATTCTAGTCGAAGGGTCTCTTGTATTTATAGAAGGCTTTTACCTAAAAGTCAAGTCAGCATATTCTTGTCATTGAGAATTCAGGACAGGGAGTCTGGAGTTTCAAATACATTCAATTAACAGTAGGCAGCAGGAATACATAAATCTTTTTATAAAAAATTTATTTCTCTGTAAATACAAATTCCAACATCAACAAACAATAATCCAGTGGAAAAATACTAGCCATTAACATTGAAAACTTTTTTCTTAGTTTAATAAATAGAGCTTTGGCATTCAAAATTCTAGCTGTAAACCCTATTAAAAGATAAAACCAAAAACAACCCCTTTAAAAAAGGAGGCAAAAGTGATAGGTCAGAAGGCATAAGCCAGCCAGTGGCTTCACATTCTTTTTACAATAACTGTATTTTAATTAAGTTATGAACACTGTATTTACACATGAGGTATTTTGGATGGTTCAAAAACTGAACCTAGTTTACAAAAACCACCAGTCACAGTGACTGATTATGCACTCAGCTGTGCTTTTAATGTAACCACCTAGCACCTTACTACTTCTTGCCATCACACCAACATGACACTGAACTTTACATTTATATATTTAAATAACTACTCATATATATCTATGTACATACATATACACAACAAATGAATACATTCTATAGGAATTCCTCACACTATACAGGGAGGCTGGGCTCCAAGAACGTGATACTTCCTTTCATGTTCACTAAGGCATCCACTTCCTAATGACAGATGTTCTTTGCTTAAAAAAAAAAAAAAAAAAAAAAAGTCCTTAATCAAGTCTATTTAAAGAACAAGGTGCAACAATCATCACCATTCTTATAACTCATGTAAGATAGAATGAACACTTGCTGCAGGCAAAAAGGCACAAAAGGTTCTCTCTGAACGCAGCTGCAACAGTGCTCCTTAAAGACTTAGTGATTTGAAACCATTCATATTGTATTCTTTTAAATAAGAAAAAAATTCCCAAATATTTCCCCTTCATGATTAAATGTGTGATATAATCATATGGCAATTACTATGAATGGCATTTTGGGGGCAAAGTTGGAAGTTTACTTTTTATAACAAATAGAAAATAGTTCCTCTTGTTTTGTGAACACTGAAAAGAACTGTTGAAAATGGAAAACAAAATGAATTAACTTTAGCTCTGAGAGCTACAGTTATTGGCAGTCTGAGTGAGCATGGTTATAAGAATTGCTTACATATGTAATTACATATCTACAGTGATAGAAATCTAAATAACAGAATGCCAATAATCCAAACTCAAGTTATGCCTGAGCTGAACTGTGCTCTATAAAAATACAGTCCAGGTGTTCAGTTACTGTGACTCAATGAACTATTACTGATATTTAAAGGACATTTTCCCATTAAAGTAGTTTCTTTAAAAATATTCTCTAAAAGATTCCTATTGAGTTTTGCACAATGACAGAATTAATTTGCAAGCTTATTAGTAAGTCAGAAATGTACAATTTTCATTTTAGCAACACTTTCCAGCCCTTGGGATTGTCTTTAACAAGCTACTGGAAGAAAGCCTATTTCAGTTTAATAAACTGTCACAACCAAAATAAATTTCACTAAAATATGATACTGCTAAATTGAAATATTAAATCCTATTTCAAATATAAAATGGGGCCACATATTTTTAAAAATAAGTTCAGGCATATCTTACCTAGTCAATACTTAAACACTTTTTAAAAATTACAGGCCATTAAAAATTTATTAACAATCTAAAGTCTTCGTATTTTTCTGACATCAAATGAAAACAGCTTTTGTGCCCTTGACTCAGCTAATGTTGTTATGTGCACAGCCAAAGTGGATCTGTTATGGAGTCATATTCATCCACGTGGATGAATATGACTGAGTTAGAACAGGCTTTACTTCAAAGCGCAAAAGATCAATTATGACACTTCCTAAAAAGATAAGCATTTAATAATACACAAAAGCATAATTAAAAAGAGGTTTAATTATCTAAAGAAATTTTCAAATAGACTGACTTTAAAACTTAAATTAATTTCCATTTCAGGTATGTATCACTGTAATAACTTCTATGAACACTCTGGGGCAAGACACCATAGTGTTGCTATTTGTCTGTCTTAGCTGACCTAATAGTAAAATATTTGTTTTTAATGTGACACCAATATTATTACTGACTGCTCTAACACAAGAGGGTGTGGGTGTCTTGAGGAAGGGAAGTTTTCTGAAAAATAAAAATTAAAAATTAAAAGCTGCCTAATTAGAATGTTACTAGATTCATTTTTTTCTCAGAATTCCTTACAAAACTTCTACTTATTTTCTAGGCCCCTTTACAAACTTCAGACTCTAAGAAATTATATTTTATAATCCAAGATTATACTTAAAACTATCATATCTTCATGCTTTTTTAAAACAAGAGTATACAATTTCCAAAGTGAAATACATCAGCAAAAGTTCTTGTTATATTTTTTACCTTAAGATATGTTAATTAAATTAAATTTTGTAAGTTTTAGAAAGAAAATTTACTAAAACAAAAAATCATTTCATCCCAACCAGGCTAGGGAAAAAAAACAAACAAACTGTACCTTTAAGAGAGTAAAACAAATGGTCATAAGTCTGCTTGAAAGAATAATAACCATAAAACTCCACAACATAAACTATTAAACTTAGGAGATATTTAAGTAAGAACCTATTGACCCAAGGGTGCCTTATTTTTGAAATCACGGTAGGAAGGTGTGAATTCTATTCAAAGAGAATGTAAAAATGTTACTGGGTGCAATTGTGGCTGAACTGTGGCAGATATTATGATCCACTTTTCTGTAAAGCGACATCTTCACAGATATTAATCCTTGTAAGGAAGAATTCTTTGCATCCATTTTTTTTTTTTTTTGGTACAAATTTACTACTTTTTGATTGTCTTCAAAGAACTAACACTAAAAACCAAATGAATACATTAGGAAACCAAGTTCTTATAGTGACTAAGTCCTTTCTGAGGTCAGGGACCTTAGGATGCAGAATCACTATAATGCACTGATTTCTTAGTGGCCAAATCCTATAAAGAGGAGCAGCATGGACTCAGGCACTGAAAGAAAGGGAGATGTGATGTCTTACAGTGTATTATAGTGAAGTGTTGAACTAGAATCATGTAACAGTTTAGTGAGAGCTGTAAATAAGCCAACATTCTAAATAGAGTTTTCCTGGGTGTCTCCTTGAAGGCCTTGCTCTATTATGCTTTCTCTGTTGAGAACAGAAAAAAAAAAAAAAATCTTTTCTAGGAGCAGCCTTTGTATACATATGCTTGGCAAGAAAACAGGCATATGATCTGCTCCCAAACAAACAATATCATCCTGACTGATCTATACATCGTATTCCCCACTTCTTTAGTCTTGCCTAAGTAAACCCTGACAATATTGAAAAATCAAACCAATTTATAGGGGACAATAGTTTACCATAACTAAGTATATTCAAAAGAATATGATCAATGCTCTGAAGAACTAAAACATAGATAACATTCATTTAGAAGTTTACACGTTGCATGTCTATTAAAAATCAGTTTATTTCATACTAATACCCTGTCTTCCAGATGAATAACTAACCAAGCCAAGTTCATATTCTATAACAATCCCTGTTATTAATGAAATATATCTAATAAAAGGAAATAAAATTATCATCTAGGTTTAGATTTTGTTTTATGTTAGTGTTAGTTCAGATAAAGAGCTGGCTTTCTCTTAATGTAGTTGCAAAATTAAAACAGGTACAAAACTGTTAAAATGTAAATGCTGAGACTTTGATAAATAAACTATCATTCCAGAGTCAGTCTGACAATCTTTGCTTAACAATGATCTGAGGCCTTGTTTGCATTAATTATATATGGCTTTGTTTATACTGCCATATATAAACAAAAAAACTGTAAGTAGTAAGAGATAGGATAAAATAATTTCAACTTATGTTAAACTTTCTTGTAATGTATAAATTATAGTGCTGATGAAAAAGATTATCACATCAGTACTTCACACTCTTACAATCACTCTGGAGAAAAAGCTGACCTATCCCAACTCCAGAACCTCATCATCTCAGTTCAGTGATTATTTAAATCACAAATGGTTTTGCCTGCTGTACTTCTATTAAACACTTGCCTACTGTTGGAACTCTTATTCAGCTAGCCCCTGAAAATATCAAAATACAACACAAGTTTCCATATGAAAAAAAGAATAAACAGTGTGTGCCTTTCTTAGAAGATTTGATTTGATGCTTGAAATCCTTATAATTATGTGAACTTAAAAGCACTTACACACACACAAACCTCAAACATATGCATATGCAAACACATAAAACCTACAGAAGTAAACAAAATCCTGTCCCTTTATCTGAAGGGCACTATTCAAAAATTGGTCCTATAATCAGTAGTTTGGAAATTTGCTTTTTCTTGTTGACTTTATCACATTTTTCAAATGATAATTATTTTGCCTGATTAGATAAGCCCCTTAAAAATCTCCTCACATTCCTATTTTCCCTCAATTAAACAAATCAACACACACATACCCACACCCACACACATACAGACAACCTATGTGCAAGTGGTATGTCACTTGCAATTTTCCATTGTAACTCTTAAAAAGAAATATGAAGAACTCTAACTCAGCAGCATTTAACAATGGGTCATTATTGCTGTGGGACCAACACTTGATCACTGGGTTATGCAGTTATCTCCCATGTCCTGAGCATAGCGGTCTGATATTGTAGTTCTTAATTCATCAATGTCTCTCCGTAACTGGCACACATCTGACAGTCTTTTAGCAAGTGTTTCTGAGCTGTGGTCACTTTCAGTCTCTTCAGCTGAACAATTCATTGCTGTGTAAATAAAAAATGGACAGAAGAATGACTCATTTTGCTTTGAATAAAGACGTTTTAGGATTTTCATCTTAATCATCATGGAAACATAATATTATGCACTGAATATCAATGAGGCTCAGATTTAAACTATGCATCATTTGATATTTAAATAGGTATTATCTACCTGATCCTTTAAAATTTTTGTTAAGATGTGTTAAATTCATACAGCAATACATAAAATTCAACATATTTAATTGATGACAATGTTCCAAAAGTGAAAAAGAACATAATCAAATGTCTCTTTCCAAGTTCAACTAGAGAACCCAGTTCTTTCCTTTTGATAAAATCTAGAAATCATTTGCAGAGGAAGTAGTTTAAATTTTTATGATTGCAAAATGGGTTTTTATTGGCATGCAAATATTAATTTTCAAAATATATAGAGGTTTGGGGCCTTATAATCCCAAACAACTGAATCAAGTTGATAGCTGGTTGCCCAAAGTCTCAGTAACAAGGAGTAAATCAGCTAGCTTTTACTTACTTACTCCAGTATCTATTTGTGAGCATGTCACAACCTAAAATCAAGCACAGCCAGTGACTGTGAAATAAACCTTTCCTTCTACCTTCATTAGTCCTAGTAGTTTATTAAAGACATAAGGTTAGATAACTGTTATTTTAACAAACATTAAATGGACATTTGCCCTGAGTCCAGGGGTCACGCTAGATGTGCAGGTCAGTGGCTTGTTCTCAATGCTTTACACATGATTTCATAAACAAATGAGCACAGTGAGTATTGTGATAACCTGAACTACAAGCTACAGAAGCACTAAAGGAAGAGAACAACCAGCCCTAACAAAAGAAATATCAAATACTCACTAAGAGGGCCAAGAAAGCAGAATGAACAAAAGTATAGAGGCAGAAAATTAAAGAGTCTGAAATAATTTGACAAACTTCAATAAAATTAGTGTCCAGCTCTAAAATGATACGGTACAAATCATGAGAGAAGAATGACAAGAAATAAGCCTACCAAGGTAGGCAGTGCTATTTCTCTCACAGAGGAGAGTAAGTATTAGGAAACCAGATTCGAGGTTTAGAAGACAGATCACTCTGGAAAAAATGTGAAAAATGGACTGGGGAAAGGACTGTGAGGAAAATGGGTTACACATAGTACAGGGATGAAAGATCTTGTAAGGAACAATCATCAATTTGGGTGAGGGTCAGAGCTTGGGGAGTTCACAGATGAAGGAAGAAGCAAAGTGAAGTAAAAAATCTGGGCTAGGGTGATAGGTGAATGTTGGCACTACTTACACACTGCAAGGAGAAAGTTTAGATAGGTTCTGCTTAAGCCATGTTGAGTTTCTGATGCCTATGAAACAGCCAGTTCTCAAATACACACAGATGAACTACAAGGAGCCCAGAAGAAATATTCTAGGCAGGGAAAGAGATAAACATTTGTTTGGTGGAAAAGGTTTAACAATAACAGGGCAGGTATAAGATTATGCAGAAAAAGGATTAAATAAAAAAAGAAATAAAAAACCAACAACAAGGGGATGGGGGGTTGTGGCTCAGTGGCAGTGCGCTTGCCTAGCATGTGTGAGGCACTGGGTTTGATCCTCGGCACCATATAAAAAATAAACAAATAAAATAAAGGGTATTGGTTTCATTAAAAAAATGTTATTGAAAAACAAACAAACAAAACCACCAACAAAAAGTTTCTGGAAGCCCTAATACAGAAGTAGTAAGGAAATCCATGGAAGACTGAGACTGAGCAGTCACAAAGGCAAAGCACAACCTAGAGAATGATGTCATGGAAACCAAGGTAATAAGAGTTTTAAGGAGTGTGGGGAGCAGAATCAACAGCTAACCAAAGGAGTCACGAGATAAAAATTCAAATGAATCCATTGCTTCTGGCAAAAGAGTTGGCTGGTCAAATTTTCACAATACCAAATAAATATAAGGTAAGGATTCCAGGTTTGAACTTTAATGATTGGAAGAAGTATACATTGGGGTGTGGGGTGAAAGAGGTAAGCTTCCTAAATCTTTTGTTCATATTACGATAGCTCTATTACCATATTATGGAAAACATTAACAAATGCTATAGTAAAAAATGTAGGTTACTTATCTGGAAAAATAAGAGACCCAGAATAGCTAAAGCAATTCTAAATAGGAAGAGTGAAGCAGGTGGCATCACAATACCAGACCTTAAACTATACTACAGAGCAATAGTAACAAAAACAGCATGGTACTGGGCACCAAAACAGGCTGGTAGACCAATGGTACAGAATAGAGGACACAGAGACTAACCCACAAAATTACAACTATCTTATATTAGACAACGGTGCCAAAAGCATGCACTTCAACAAATGGTGCTGGGAAAACTGGAAATCCATATGCAACAAAATGAAACTGAATCTCTATCTCTCACCATGCACAAAAACTCAACTCAAAATGGATCAAGGATCTAGGGATTAAACTAGAGACTCTGCGTCTAATAGAAAAAAAGTAGGCCCTAATCTTCATCACGTGGAGCTAGGCCCCAACTTCCTTAATGAGATGCTTATAGAACAAGAATTAAAAACAAGAATCAACAAATGGGATGGATTCAAACTAAAAAGTTTTTTCTCAGCAAAAGAAATAATCTGTGAGGTGAACAGGGAGCCTACATCCTGGGAGCAAAATTTTACCCCTCACACATCAGATAGAGTACTAATCTCAGGGTATATAAAGAACTCAACAAGCTAAGCAACAAAAAACCAAATAATCCAATCAATAAATGGGCCAAGGACCTGAACAGACACTTCTAAGAAGAGGATATACAATCAATCAACAAATGTATGAAAAAATGCTCATCATCTCTAGCAATCAAAGAAATGCAAATCAAAACTACTCTAAGATACCATCTCACTCCAGTCAGAATGGCAGCTATTATGAAGACAAACAACAAGTTTTGGTGAGGATGTGGGGAAAAAGGTACACTCATACATTGCTGGTGGGACTGCAAACTGATGCAGCCAATTTGGAAAGCAGTATGAAGATTCCTTGGAAATCTGGGAATGAAACCACCATTTGACCCAGCTATTCCTCTTCTCGGACTAGACCCCAAGGACCTAAAAACAGCATACTACGGGGACACAGCCACATCAATGTTTATAGCAGCACAATTCACAATAGCTAAACTGTGGAGCCAACCAAGTTGTCCTTCAGTGGATGAATGGATAAAAAAAATGTAGCATATATACACAATGGAATATTACTCAGCACTAAAAAAAAAAACAAAAAACAAAATCATGGAATTTGCAGGGAAATGGATGGCATTAGAGAAGATTATGCTAAGTGAAGTTAGCCAATCCCAAAAAACCAAATGCCGAATGTTTTCTCTGATATAAGGGAGGTGACTCAAAGTGGGGTAGGGAGGAGAACATGGGAGGAAGATTATTTCTAGATAGGGAAAAGGGGTTAGGGGGAAGGGGAATAGCAAGGATGGTGAAATGTGATGGTCATCATTATACAAAACATATGTATGAAGATTTGAATTTTGTGTCAATATACCTTATACACAAACAGAGATATGAAAAATTGTGGTATATATGTATATTAAGAATTGTAATGCAAAAAAGGAGTACATGTATAATGGCATAATTTGGTGTGAACATACTTTGTATTATACACAGTTAAGAAAAATTGTGCTGTATATAGGTAATAATGAGTGTAATGCATTCCACTATTGTCATTTATGTAAAAAATTAAAAAATGTAGGTTACAAAATGATTGAAAGGGGGAACAGCTCTAAAATGGTAGGCAAAAATCAGTCTTCTGTGGGTGAGCCTTTACTTCTTGCTTCCAAGAGATCATTCCTAACTAAGCCACCTCATGTTCACCTGGCAACCTTCTCCTTTTCCTCTTCAAGATACATACCAAACTCCAGCTATTCCATGGAATATTCACAGCCATTCCCATGTGGATGATTTAGTTGCTTGTCTCCCTTGTGCTCCTATTGTCCCTTTGTCCATGTCTCCATTACAACACTTACAACGATGCTCAGATAATTTGTTTAATGTATGGGCAAGGAATGTATTCAATTTATCTCCAGTAACAGCACCTAACTTATTACCTGGACCACTGAAAGCATCTGATAAGTATTTGCTGAGTAAGTGAATATACTTAAAACATGAAGTGTTTTTTAAATACCCACACATGTATACAGACACCTATGAAGTGGAAGAGAAAATCCTGCTGACACTGCTAAATACAGATATATGTTTCACTTAACAAGTGATATACTTGATTAAAAGCATTATTTGATTTGCCAAAATAATTATGATGAGACAAGATGCTGGAATCTTTTTAATGAAACTGGAGAAAGAACTAGTCCTTACTTTGATCACATAAGAACCATACTATGAGACAGTTACTCAATATAACAAGTCTATTTATAAGCCTTATTTGTGGTTTTGTTCTTTCTGTTCTTATCTTTTCACTAAAGTCTATTTCTTTTCTATTAAAAATGAATAAACATGCCAGTATCTACTAATTTGGAACCATATGTAGAGATAAACATCCCTGCCAAAGTAGCACAAAAAGGAAGGCTCATACTAGGATTTTATTGTGGCAGTCCTTACAATTATGTGTGGAGGAAGATAGAACTGAGGCAGAAAGTGGGTGGGTGTCACATGGAAAAGGGCAAAGACAACAGGTATGCATGACAAACACAACAGATCTGTAGGCTGTGAAAGCTGGCTCATTTGAAAGTACTGGCCCTCACATTAAGCAACTGCCATGTAACACACACTGTATCAAGGAAAAAGTATTATCTATCTAACATTTTATCAGTGAATACATGGCTGGGCATTATCATACAACCATCATAAAAACAAACAGAATTATTACTTTTATAGAAGAGTAATTAGGAATTCACTCCTACTTCTACTCCACGCACACATTTACAGATTTGGTATAGGAAAAATATCTAGGCATTCTGCCAAGGGGAAGTCCATGTCAAACATGACCTACCTGCTCACTTCTGTAAGTTATGTAATGAGGTAAGTAATAACAGGTATACCTAAACCCATAAATTGAGTCAGAAACTTATAAACCTAAGTACGAAAGAAGATAACAAAAATAAACAGAGAAAAGACAGTAAGAAATTCCTGATTAATGAAGACAGGTTTCTAATTGTTAAGCAATAAATAAAGACAAGTCATCAGCCACTTACATCTAATTCCCAGTAATAATGAAAGATTAGGCTCCTTGCCCTGAGCTCGCTGATTAAGAATACTGCACAATGCTTTCAAGTCAAGCAAACAATAGGACATTTCTTTGAACAGCTGATCAATTACAGTCAAATCAAATAGTGGCCGTTTAGAAAGAACTGTCTGCTGCCTAGATTGGTCTGCTTCCTCGCCCTGATCCAATAAAGAGCATGTCTCTTCTGTTTGTCTTTGGTTCTGCAATGGCTGGAAAAAAAAGAAAAAAATAAAAGAGTTGTTAGAGGAAAAGTACTCAAAAGCAATAAAGGTTTAATGTTTTTTTCTCCAAGACTATAAACAAGTCTATATTATCATACTGCATGTCATATTACATGCATATCAACCAAATTCAACTGCATATGTGCAATGTGAAAAAGAAATATATTAATATATATAGTGGACACAGTTCCTCTGATGCCTTAAGATAAACCTGAGAGAAAACCAAAAACCTATATCCAAAATAGCCTTAGGTTCTAGAATTTCTTATATAATGAACATCTTGGTTGTGTATATATTTTTCTATAATAAAATTTATTCTAAGGACAAAAAAAAAAAACTACAAAGAAACATTAGGCCAGATTCTATTATTTTTTACTGTTAATGGCAATAGTTATTTAATAACTTTGAAATGAATTTTTTCTATATTGAGAAAAAAAGCTTGTTATTAATGTTGACAGAAACAAAAAACTTCAGTTTAATAGAAAAAATACAAATACAAAACCAAAGATGGGAGAAAAACTCAATAATTCTGAATTGTTAAATTTGAGTTGGAAGCATTAATATGAACTATTGACTTACTATATTCAGAAACTGCTACCCTTATATCCAAAATTATCACCTCCTTATCCTGAATACTGCTAATTAAGTTTAGATATGCACGATGGTGTGTGCCTATAATCCCAGCAGCTCAGAGGCAGGAGGAGTTCAAAGCCAGCCTTAGCAACTTGGCGAGACTTGTCTCAAATTTTTTTAAAAAGGGCTGGGGATATGGTTTAGTGGTTAAGCACCCCTGGGTTCAATCCCTGGTACCCCAAAAAAAGATAAGTTTAAAGGGTTGAGGATTGTCAAGCATGTGCAAGGCTCTGGGTTTAATAGCCAGCACTCCAAAAAACAATAAAACAAAAATTAGTAGTAGTACTAGTAGTAATAGTTTAATTAGCTGTCCACTTAGAGCTGTTTTTCAGAATAACCAAATAGCTTTGGGTGATAAAAACTCTAACAGATGAATGTCAACTAAGAGGTGTAAAAGGAAGAATATAACTGGGGAAAAATACCATTTATACCATTTTTCAATCATCTTATACTTTAGGCAATGATGGAAAAAGGGTACTGAAAAACTGCATATTCACACAGTCCCACAGATCCTTTGCTGTTTGCAAGGCCTATAACTTTATAATGCAAAAAGTCAGGCTGGGCCATAACCTTAACCCAGAGAAATTAGTTTGTCATTTACAGTGGAATAATCATACACTGCATATTCACACTGGAAGAATTTGACATGAATTTCATATCTTTACCTTAACTTTTGGAGATGCATTCTTAAATATATATGGATGAAATATAATTATGTATATGTACTTTTTTGTATAATAGGTCCTTACATACAGGTCAAATACTTTATCTCAAATGAGAAAGCATGATCTGTTCTAATGATGAATTGCCAACAATGCATCTTCTTTAAGGATTTTCAATGATAATATTGTTTTGTTTTTTTGTGGTGCTGAGGATTGCCTTGTGCGTGCAAGGCAAACACTCTACAAACTGAGCTATATCCCCAGCCCAAGGGTAATTTTGTTTATATTCAATTTATGCCTGATTTATTTTTATTTTATTTTTCACTTTGGGACCAAATTTTCAGACAGCATTTGGCTTTGCTTTAGAATACCATTTTACAGATTTAACTATAAGAAAAATAAATTTGTTTTTGATTTTCATAAGAAACCTAATGAATTTAATTAACTGGCACATAGTTAAGTCTCCTTGAAAACTTTCTATTAATTAATATGTACAAAATCAAAATAAGCATTGGCTTAAATTTAAATAGGCAGTGAATCATCCTTTCAAGGCAGTCTGAATTTCATCTACTCACTTCAAGCAGTGCTTTTGTTAATCTTTGCAGGTTTCTCTCTTTCCTCTCCAGTTCTTCCATCATCTTTTGTGTGTTTAATTTTTCTTTAGAAAGTTTGCCCTGCATTGACTAGAACAATAACAACAAAAATTATAAAGCAAAGCATGTTAACACACATACAGGTAACAAGGAATATTGAGTCTGAATAATTTCAATTTTTTTCCCTTCCTAGTTTCTGAGAAGATTAAATCTTTACTTTAAAAATGACTCATTACTTATAGAGTGAATGGCTTCAAGAAAAAAGTAAAAAAACGAACAAAAAAACTTCATAAGGAAATGTTTAATCTGTGTAAAACACATCAAATTTACAATTGTTATTTAATGTTATATGACAAATAATTCTTATTTTTTTTGTTTATTGGCAATATGTTAGCACAGTCTCCCTTCTCTGTTTACTAACTATGTTACATGGTGTTGATCTCAATCCATAAATTTATTGGGGGACTTCAATAAATTAAACTCTTTCTTACTCCTTTATAAAATTACAAATCATCTAGATATGATACTATTATAAGAAAACCCTGAGTTGACCAAGGTTACATAGAGGACATTTTTAGAGTACTTAGATTATTTGAGCTGATTAATCCGAATTTTCATCTTACACTAATGAAAACCTTGCCATAAATTCTATAGTTATTAGTGAATTCTAGGTATTCTATCAGCTTTTTTCCTTTGGTTAGACCACAAAATCAACAAACACATGACCAGGGAAGAATATCTTTTTTTTCCTTCCAGGTCTGTATTTATTCTCAACTCAAAATACTCCAATATAATGACTACCCAAAACATAATTCATAGAATTTATATTAGAGTTTTTTCTGCATTATCTCTGGATGGAATAAGAGAGACAGCTATCACCAAGGACGAGAGAGAAGGATAAATATAGACTTCTTAGTAAGACATTCAAATTTAATAGAGAAGGATAAATATAGACTTCTTAGTAATAGACATTCAAATTTAATTTACTCTAAATAATGAAAATATATTTTATAAACCAATAAAACCATGTAATAATACATTTTCTTCCAAGAAAAAAAATGTTCTATATGTGACAAAAATGTAATTCACAGCATGCAGACATATGAGACTCTCTGTGTATATTTTTAGACACTAAAATTCCTTCATAATTCATTGATTCAATGACATATGGAGAATTATTTGTCCTGCAAAGATTTTCTGACCTGATAAGATTTGGCTGTAATCCAGAATTCAAACTAAATTTTCTTAAATTTTGTGACTGCTTATTAGAATTATAGAAGAAAAGCATCATAGATAAACTACTCTAAAACTCACATCTTAACACTGAAAACTGAACTGAAGAGGGATGTTTTCATAATGTTATAATATAATTCTTTAAAAGCTCATGGTGTGTTATATTTCAACCAATTCAGAGTCACCTTGAATGCAACTAATAATTAGCTAGTGACTCATGTTTCTACGTAAGGCTAAATTTAAATCGATGATGGATGACACAGGCAGCCTTCTTCATCAGAAAAGCAGAAGTGTTTGGCAGTGGTGCTATTTGTCAAAAGAAGGAAAACTGGATTTGGTAAATAACATCAAGGTTAACATGTAAGATTGGGTGTACTTAAGGGTACTTATCAGGAAACCCCTTAACAGGGGAAAGAGCTCACAGATGAGCTTTTCCTAGAAGGTTCAAATTGTACCATTTCTAGGATAACACCAGGAATGAGTGTTGGAGCTGTCAGACAGCAATCTCTCACCACAAAAACATTAATTACCTCTTTATCCTAAATTGTATGAAAAAGTATATATTTTAGGATTTGAAGATAAAGGGAGAAAAAAAAAACTATACTTATGGGCTCATCAGATTCAAATTAAGACAAAATAGAATAAAGTCTGATTATTAAACTACATCTCCAAAATGAAGTTCATGTAAAAACATAATAAATAATATTTTTTATTTTATTTATTTACTACTCATCACTGGGCTACATGCCTAGCACTTTTTTATTTTTGAGGTAGGGTCTTGCTAAATTGCCCAGGCTGGACTCCATCCTTCTTTCTCAGCCTCTTAAATAACTGGGATTACAGGCATGCCTCACCACACCTGGATCTTTGTAGGGGTTTGTTGTTGTTGTTGTTGATTTTTTGTAACCATTCTATCCTTTAACAACACAGGAGGTTTTGGTAAGTACTTTCTTTTGGGTATTTTAACATAAAATCATATAAGCTTTTGAGACGTGTTAGTTTTTATAAATGCAATGACATATTTTTTTTGACATATAAATCCATAATACCAAGTTTGTACATTTTATCTGTAAGATAAAAAACTCTATAGAAGTTTCAGTTTTTATTCTATCAAGAATAAATAATGGGGCTGGGGATGTGGCTCAAGTGGTAGCGCGCTCGCCTGGCATGCGTGCGGCCCGGGTTCGATCCTCAGCACCACATACAAACAAAGATGTTGTGCCTGCTGAAAACTAAAAATAAATAAATAAATAAATAAATAAATATTAAAAAAAAAAGAATAAATAATGCATGTTATTTCACAAAAGAATTTTGCAAAGCAGTTTTTGAGGTCTCTTGAAGATTTAAAAAAATATAATTGCTCAAAATGGTGGCACAGTACACTTAAATAAAATAACCTATATTATTTACTGAAATAAATATTTGATTTTTGTGAAGTTCAAAATAACAATGTTTATAATTCACTAGACATATGGGGGCTTATTAAAATTAAAAATTTGAATTAAGTTCAAATGTCTATATCTCTTAAATTCCCATGTAAATAATATTTTTAAAAATTCTACTAAGTTACTAACCTACTGGTATATACTATGTTCATTTCTGAAGTTGAAGATACTTCTAAGTACATATACTGCTTTGATGTCAAATATTTTGGGAATGACCCATATACAAAAAGCTCAAATGAAGGAAAGCCAGATGTACCTTAGCTAGCAGATTTTATCTACTCTATACACACAACAAGAAATACTTAGGGAAAAAAAAAACATTAGTTCTACAACACACATATACACAAACATATGCACATGTTCAGATATGCTCAAATTTTACACAGTTACATTACGCAATTACTCATATAAACACAATTCTGTGAACAAAACAGTCAACGCTCTTGGCCTTCACAAATATTTTATTAGGTAGAAAAAGACTAAAGGAAACAAAGTAAATATAACATAGTTTTGTGTGTTATAATTTGATTACTACTGTGGAGAACAAATAGAGTATTGTAAAATCTTAAGGAGGCCAGAGAATAAGGGCTTCTGGAAAAGGTGACACTTAAGCAAAGGTCTGAAGTAAATAAGAAACTAGGTTCTCCAGATATCTTGAAAGAGTGTTTTAGTCAGTGCAAAGGTTCTAGGGAAGATCTGTGTTTGCTAAACAGCAAACACAAGACAACCAGCATACTAAGAACAGTGGAGCTATAGTAGGGTCAGAGATGAAATGCAGCATGGAAAACAGAGTGGGTAGGGTCTCCTAAGTCCTAAGGAGGAAGAGTTCTGAGTAGACACATGATGTATTCTGATTTTTGTTCAATAGGATCACTCAGACAGATGAGAACAGACTGTGGGCAGAGAAGGATGGAAACAGGAAGAAATAACAGATGAGAAACAAAGATGGCTTAGAGCAGGATGGCAATGGAGGCGAATCTGGAAGCAACCAGATTCTAGATATACTGTGAAGTTGAAAGAATTTACAGACAAATGTGAGATAAGAGAAGAGCTAAGAATAATTCTAAGATTTCTAGACTGAGCACAGAGAAGATAGATTAGCTATTAATGAGTAGTTTCCAAATTCAGCACAGTGGGTGAATTTTCTTGTGAGCAAAGGCTTTTGCTTGTTTTGTTCATTAGTTATCCCCTAGAAAAGTGACCCGTGGTACAATCTCAGAAAAAATTATTGAATGAACTAAACTAATGAGTCAATGCAAAAGTAACCAGTCAATATCTAATTTGTTTTTTGTTTTAATAAAAAGGCTATTTCACTCATTTAACAAATATTTACTGGGCATCTTTTTCTGTGCAAGGCCCTATGCCAAATGCCAAACTGGATAAAGACTGTTCATTATAAAGCTCCTAAAACAAATGTAACAGAAAATACGATGAGGCATTTTATTTGAGCTCAAGAAACTACTAATACCACCATCATAGTGCAGACTACAATATATTAAAAATTACATTTCACTTTGGAGACAAAATTTCCCAATTATACTTCAGGGCAATTGAATTTAAGGCGTTTTCCACAGAAGATCCTGGTTTTCTGATGTGCAGCAGTTTAAAAATCATTATGGGAATGATTCATTTAAAATGATTTGTCATTAGAGCCTCCATAAAGAAGGAATCAGACAACACTTTTTTGGTGCATTTTTGCTTTTCTTTTGGAATTTTTCACTTTGAGGAAGCTAAGAGTAATGCCAAGAACATAAACATTTGAAGTCAAAAGGACATGAATTAGAATCTTAGTTGTAACCTCTTTCAGCTCTTCCATGTATTAAAAAATATGTTTTCTTACTTTGTAAGGTGACTGAAGTTTAGAGATAACAAATATTAACCAGAGAGCAGAGTTCCTGTAACATGTGATATCATTACTTCACCGCCACCTTAACAAACACTGTGCTTGGCACCAGAAGCTTTATTTCTCACTTTGGTCTAAGTATGGGCAAATATTAAATCCTTTTTCCTGCTGGGCACAGTGGCACATGCCTATAATCCCAGCAACCTGAGAGACTGAAGGAGGAGGATTACAAATTCAAGATCAGCCTCAGCAACTCAGCAGGCCCTAAGCAACTGAGCAAGACCCTGTCTCAAAATAAAAAGGAACTGGGGATATGACTCAGTGGTTAGGCACCCCTGGGTTCAATTTCAAGTACCCCCACACATCCCTCCCCCCACCAAAAAAAAAATCCCTTTTCTTCATTCCTGTGGGTAAATTTTCAAAATACTTGTAAAAACTAAAAAAAGCAAACAAGAATTATGCAAATGCCACTTTTTAGTTTCCTGTTTATTAGAATCTAAGATCGTCTACAGCTCTAATTCCTTTCTTCAGTTAGCTGTCATTTTGCATTCTGATATAACTCTGAAAAC